TTACACGTAAATAATTAAACGTGTCTCTTGGAAATTGGAATTGGAGTGTTTAAAATTTGGAGCTTAAGATCGTCTCTGAAGTCATGAAGAATTGAAATAGTTTTTGTTAAAATTTTTCAACTTCCCTGTAAGAAAATGTAAAATTGCATTTGTTCATTGTATTCTGAAATTGATTAAATAATTCGTTTCTAATTGGGCTTGAAGATTAAATCCGCAATGACCACAGTCGCAATTATCTACGTAATCGATACTGCACCTTCGATTACCTGGTAAAGATATATAAAAAGTGTTTTACGTAACAAGAAACATGAAACTTACTATATGTATAAAGGATTAGATTATCCAGAATTGATAACAGAAATAAGTATTAATTTTTCAAACTAAAGATTTTCCATCTCGATAAGAGAATTAAAAAATTCTACAGCTTTGTCTTTTGGCAACCGCCACCCTCGGCGCTGAAACAGGCGAGAAGTCTGAGAAAGTCAAAAGAGGAATACTGTTAGGAGGATCTGAAGGCCTGAACCTGGGTTCCAGCCTGAGCCAAACCAATTTGGATGGAATACCTGGAGGATTGTCAAACGGAATTTCAGGACTAGGACAAGGACTCGGTTCTGGGCTTACAGGAAGCTTGACTGGAGGATTGAACACAGGAATAACCAGAGCAAATATTCGTATCATCAACCAGCAGCAAGTGCCACTGATCTTACCTCAACCATACCCAATTACCAGACCTGTAACGTCTCCTTACACAGTGAGACAGAACTTTCAATCTCTTATAAATGAAGCACCCATCCGAACTCCTCAGATTACCAGCCAGAGACTGAGCATTTCCGAGAATCTTCGAATTCCTCAACCGATCCCTATCTCCCAAATCTCTCAGCAACAATTATCCATCCCTCAATCGACGCAATTATCTCAACAATCGCCTATTGTCGTCACTGTTTCGTCCGCAAGTCAGAGTGGCCCGAGTTCAGGCATCAGTAGTGCTCTTAACTCTGGAATTATTGGAAACAGTCTGAATGGAGGACTCAGTTCTGGTTTGGGTTTACCATTGAGCCCTGGACTTGGAAATCATGGAGCTTCTGGATTGAACTTCGGATCTGGATTGAGTTCTAGACTTGCATCCCTCGGGATTGGATCAGGACTCGGTTCAAACCGTGGATTGTCCAGTCTTGGATCTGGACTCGGTTCACAGGGATTGATCTCCAACCTTGGCACTGTATATGGCCCTGGATATGGCTACTCTGGCTCTGGTATCGGAGGACTCGGTGCCATCCGGGGTATCAATTCTCTCGATAATTTAGGATCTGGCCTGGGGGGTGGTAACCAGGTGATCGTTATAAGAAGGCATTAAACAAATTGGGAATCTTGTATAGTTAATAGTCTCATCCATGTAATACGATTAGTAAAAATTCATGTTTTATATGCTGGAATAAAACTGCCTTTCTGTATAGCTGTAGTTGCCAGATACAAGAAAAATCCTATGCAATTTCCTTCTAACTCCACTCGTTAAGGAATAATTGCCAATAAACGAAATAATTGATCGATTACTCCTGAAGTATTCGAGATAGAAGAAAATTGTATAAGACGTCAGTGCTTACAATTTTTAGTGGAAGTATTTTTCGAAATTTGAAGAAAAAATTAATTTTATTTCTTCGAGGTGGTACTTGCAACTTCCTAGTATAGAATAAAAATTTTCTAAAATACCTTGGATAATTTTTATTCACAAAAAACTATGCAAGTAATAAGTTTCGTTAACAGCAGAATTAATTAGGTCAGAGAGATGGAAAATGATAGATCCAATTGGGCAATCCGTTAGCTCACGTGAGGGTGGGAAAGTACGTCAGCGAAGGATCCTTCCATTCCTTCCTGACCTGAAACTTATCCGTTCGCAAATCGATAATCAATATTTGTTATTCATGAAAATTTGTCAATTAAAAATCAATTGAATTATAATAATTCTATTTCTTAAAGTGCATCAGTGCGTCACTGTTCAACAATGTTCAACAGACCACTGCAATTGCAGTGGTGGTTAAAATGCACTCTCTATGCTACTGGCAACCAGTAACGTCGAAGTTCTCAGTAGCTGCCGCTGATAAAATCATGAACTAATTCCCTAATCCAACTTTCTCTTAATTTATAATCACAACAGCCGTTTGATAAATTCATTTTCAATTGATACCATTTTTATTTTATAAAATATATTATCATCATCATTTGTTGTTATTGGGGGATGTTTAAAATGGTTGCTGCATTTGCAGCAGAAGTTCAGAGTCTGTATATCAGAGTTGGTTATTCAGGGAACCTGCAGTTCGTGTCGCTGGTATTATCGAGCGCAGTGCTCTGAAATACCGTTTCCCAACTACCCTCTGCACAGTACAGCCGGTCCCTGTCTGACCAACAGCAGTCTATACTACTGTGGCATCATTGAAACACAGAGACACCACTGTTTTTCATGATTTTTCTTTATATAAAATTTTATCCTTGTTTTTTCCACGAGCATGCATTATAAAATAAATGGAACTTACGAAAGCTCAAATTAAACAGGCTGAGTGGTAAACGAGACTCACCTGTAACAGAAAGAAAATTAATTCCATTATTCATCATGTCAGTCATTATTTATCAAATACGTCATTATATTCATGTAAATTAGCAGAGTTTGTATTTTCATGGAAATTTTAATTAAAATGAAACGAGTCAAGGGAAAGAATATTCCTATAATGAATGTACCCTCTAATGACGAAACTCATCGTATTTCACCTGAATAAATGAGATCGAACATTATTTAACTATCAATTAACACACTCGGAGGATATTACGTTTCCTGTATCAATCAATGTCGTACTAACAATACTTTCATGCTTGTTAAAATATAGTATTACAAATGTTTTATTAAACCATATGAATATAATACACGAGTGGAGGAGTGCAGAATTAAATAATAAGATTCTAAAAGATTTTAATCACCCAATGCTATTTATTAATTAAAGTATAAAAAAAGAGGCGTATGCTAAGGTGAAGCTGAGAAGCTCTCATTAAAGCCATAATGGCTACTGGCCCGATTAAAATTTTAATCACGTTCTCCTATTTTTGATGGACACAACTTTCCCCGTGGCGTGAGAATGCGGGCAAAGTTGATTAATCCTTAATGAAAGTGCCGCGGTAAAAGTGTGCTGAAATACAGTTGGAGTAGTACGAGTCAGCGTATGGTCAGACGTAGATGCGCCACTTTCTTATAGTTGATTACCATCTTGCGTAGTTTCCGAGCTCGTTTACGAGGAATCTTAATTTAATTTATAAACAGTACTGAGAATAAGGGGAAAGTGGAGTAGATCGTATATAGTCAGACATTCTATTTACTGTCGCTCGACGGTTTCAATGAAACTTCGTACGTTTATCGGGCTATGAAAAATAATAGAATTTCTGTTATACTTCTTATGTCGATTGACATTATTATTTATTGTTAATTCAAATTATTAATCAATCGTTTAAAGATTTTTTTTTTATATTCACGATATTTAGTAGTGAGTTTGAAAATAGTTTAGCTGAGAATTCGAATACTTTGACGTGTTTTGGATACTTGGAAATATTGGAGCTTCCAAACGAGCGATGCGAACAGGTGTTAACAAGAAAACTTGTAATTGCACTGCTAAACTGTCGGCGGTGTAAATCAGTAGAGAAAGAGGTAAATCCGTAGTAATTATTTCGATACGACCTGTGCCGACGATAAATCCTGAAGTTTCGCGACGAGTGATTACAACTTGTTAAATGATAATTAATTAATTACGCCTTTCGTTTGAACCAATTGTTGTAATTCCAATGCATTTTCTTCAATGAAAAGTGAAACCGACTCACATGAGTGTCTGCTGTTCTTCATACAAATTCCCTTTGCCAAAGATAATATAAGAAACGTTTGGAAAATACGTGAAGCGAAATTGATTAAAATTGACGATAATTATAGATTTGACTTTATTAATAATTGTCGGATTGTGAGACTGAATTGAAAGGAGGTCGACTTATTTCGTTTAATTTCTTTAATAAATGGCAGTGAAAAGATTTTCTTGATGGAACTGAGTGAACAAACATTTTCTGCTTGCTTTTAACTTGATTAAAGAGGAGCTGGCACGCGTCTTGGAAAATTGTGTTCTCGGTTATTACGTATTAAGGGAAAGGAGAGGAGCCTTGAACGAGGAGGGTGGCTTTGTCTTCCAAACGGCCCGATGAACTATCTACGAGTATTAATTAAAACTTTCACGCGATCGTACGTGAGATAAACTCTGAAACGGTCCACTTCACTCTTGACTATCTACGTAATGGACTGTTACTACCCGGTTATCACGGTTGACATTTCCATGAAACAAATACATACCTCAACTTGCAGGACACATTGCAAAATGTATAACAGAATGAGATCTTCTTCGAACATAATTAAGACGAATTCAACAGACAAATTTTAAAATTGTACATTTGCCCAAAACCAGTCAAAATGACTTCCTTGGGCAATCTAGTGTTAAGATTGATTGCTATAACGAAGTCAGTTTGAAATTACTAAATATAAAAACTGATTATTGTACTTGATTAAATCTGGAGAATGCTTAAGGAATGGCAGGACAGGGTGGGTGGAGGGGAGTGTCGAAATTGAGGATTGAAGTAGAATACGTAATAACAGATAACGG